ATCGTTATTTTGTGATTTTTATTCTTTCGATCATCATTAATCGTTTCTTTATGATTTTTATATTTTCGATCATCCTTAATCGTTATATTATGATTTTTATTTTTTCGATCATTTTTAATCGTTAAACTATGATTTTAGTTTTTTCGATCAAAAATAGCAGTTATTCCTAGTTTTTTAATGTGTAAACCGAATGTACACTAGGGTGGTCGAAAAATAGTAAAGTCTCACCCCCTAGGATCGTTCTATATCGAAAAAAAGTATACCCCTATTTTTATACCTTTCATGAGCATGAAATGGTATTATAACTTTGGTCCGATGTTTGTAAGTACCACAATTAGAAGAGATAGACCCACTGAGATGTACACTTAAATGATCAGAACGACGAGCTTCGTCGATTTAGCCTGTCTTCGGCTATGCCGAAGGCTTCATCATGAACATCTGAAAATTTTACTTAACAAAATTTATATATTACATACATATATAAAAAATCATATCTAAACAATCAGAGGTATAGAAGATAAACCTTATTTAGCACCAATCTAAGTGATTTTGACTGCTGTTTGATCGGTATGTAAACCGGTAACACAATTTAATGGGTTTAGATTCCTACACAGAGAAAATGATACATGTAAAACGCAAGTTTTTAAAAGAAATTGTAAAATAACATTTTTTGATATAATTTTACTTCATAAAAAATAAAAAATACAGTATTTGTACTTACGACTTTAAAACGAAACGTTCGCAAAACAAAAACGATCGTTATAATATACTCACTTTTTTACTGATGAGAACAAACGACATTAAAAAAATAGCTTCAAAAATGCGTATTTTAAAAACAAAAATAAAACATTTTAGAATATTGTCCCAACAAGTTGTAGTGCGACACAATTTTCAACAAGCAAAATGAAACTAAACATTTTTAAAATAAAAACGTTAATTTATTTTCAGTCAATTAGGTATGAAAAATATTTAAAACTAAAATGTTTTGCATTAGAATTTAAAAAGCTACCTTCCTATTATGAAAAACTTTCATATGTTTGCATCATTTGTCGGAAAAATTGTGTTCAGATAAATAAGTTACTTCAATCTTCAGAAAAGGCGATTAAGTATATAACTACAAATAATACTGCAATTCTAACCCCCAACTACATTAAGGGATATTGGTGAGCTTCTTTGACCAAAAAAGCTTTGGTAAGAGTAACTTACAAAAGCAAATTCTTATGGATTATTAAATAATAATTTAAAACTTTCTTAATTTAAATTACAGGACTTGACCAGCGTGAAGCAAAATTAGCAGGCCCAGCTAAGAAGTAAGGCAGAAACATCTGTATGTATGTATTTATGTATGTATATAATAATATGTAAAACATCTGCATTTCATTTATTAAATATTGTAACTTATTTATAAGTATATGTATATCAATATATTAGACAATGTGTGTACCAAACGACTTGTTGTGATTTAATAAAAATAAAATTTGAATATCATATTTGAAAACGCATATTTTTAAAATGAAGGAAAAACATTTTAGGATTTAATTTCAACATGCGCATGTTCAATTATTACCTTGTTTATACCTACGCAAGAACCGCATTAACAAAAAGCTGATTTGACTCAAACATATTTCTTTCAAGTATTTATACTTCGGTCTTTATTGCGCACTCGATGAAGCCGTATTCAAAAGTAAACCAAATCTGCTGTTTTTATACGACATTTCCTTAATAACTAACATGCGCGGTTGACCGAAATGGAAGCAGACAATAATTCGAATTTATTATAACAATAATTCAAATTTAAAAGGGGATGTATAAAGAAAGCCAGCCTTTTTTCACTTCGCGTCAAATGAATTATACGTTAATACCTGTTTTCTAACCGATGTGAGAATTAATAAACCGATTTGAAAACAAATTCGAGTGAACACACTTTTGAATTTCTGAGTGTATTGAAATTTGGTTTATGCATAGGTTTTGAATCACGGCGAAGTGGGTTAAAGCGCTTTATGTGTCGGTATAAACAAGGTATATCAAACAATAGTTTTTAAAAATGACAAAAACATGGATTTTGGAAATTGAATTGAAAATTCTCGTTCTCAAAATTTAAATAAATAATGTAGGTGAAAAACCTGGGTCAAAACGGCTTTAAAAGCAAAACGTTCCATACAAATTTGAAAACGAAAATTCTATGTGTACATAAAGGAGATATATCGCAAAAACTGGTATCTGAACAATCAGTGGAATAGGAGATAAAGCTTATACAGCATAGATTTTGTCGATTTACTCAGTAGACTGTGTAAATTTATCGGTTTTAGCTGTCCATATAAAGGAGTTTCACAGTAAAACTCCATATCTGAACAATCAGTTGTATGGAGGTAATAAAAAGGTTATAGTGACCCGATCTTTGTTCATTTTACTGTAAACTTTCTGTTGATAATGAGTGAAAATAATACGAAATTTCATGTTTCTAGCTGCATAAATGGAGAAGTTATAACAAAAAATCTCATATCTGAACAATCAGTTGTATGGAGGCTATAGGTTATAGCGTCCCGATCTTCGCCATTTCTATTGTAATTATTCTTTTGATAATGGGTGGAAATATTGCGAAATTTCATGCTCCTATCTACATAAATGGAGGAGTTATAACGAAAATTCCCATAACTGAACAATCAGTTGTATAGGAGATATATGTTATAGTGGCTCGATCTTTGTTATTTTCACTGTAAGTATTCTGTTAATAATGAGTGACAACAGTGCAAAATTTCATGGTCCTATCTACATAAATGGAGGAGTTATAACGAAAAATCTTATATCTGAACAATCAGTTGTATGGGAGCTATAGATTATAGTGACCCGATCTTTTAAATTTTCACTGTAAGTATTCTGTTGATAATGGGCGGAAGTATTGCAAAATTTCATGTTCCTAACTGCTTAAATGGAGGAGTTATAGCGAAAAATCTCATATGTGAACAATCAGTTGTATAGTGGCTCGATTATTCCGGTTCCGACAAATGATTAGTGCATTATAAAACGACACCCACCTACCAAATTTTATCCGGATATCTCGAAAACTGAGAGACTAGATTGCATACAAACAGACGGACGACGTTCTGATCATTTAAGTATACATTTCAAAGGGTCTATATCTTCTAATTTTGGCACTTACCCGACTTTACTGTGTACATAAGCATGCCTTGTAAAACTTTTTTTAAGTCAAATCTGTACACATTCGGTTTACACATTAAAAAACTAAGAATAACTTCTATTTTTGATCGAAAAATTTAAAATCATAGTATAACGATTAAAAATGATCGAAAAAATATAAATCATAATATACCGATTAAAGATGATCGAAAAAATAAAAATCAAAGAATAGCGATTATTTTTGATTGAAAAAATATAAATCATAAAATAACGATTATACAATGATTTTTATATAAAAATCCTCCATGATAACGATTATTTTGGTCCCTGAGAGATTGTCGTGAGTATCAACTTTGAGTAAGTTAGTGTTCTTGAATTTCGAAATATCGAAGTCATCGTACATTTCCATAAGTAAGAGCACATGGTAGTGCAGAGTCGAACCAGATAGCGAAAAACTGCGACAGAGGGCGCCCATAAATCACGCAAGTGACTACTTTAGTAACTCCCGGTAGTGCAGAGAAAGCCGATGGTGAATAGATGAAATACACTGCAAGTAGTCGGACGGTAATTGACGGTGTTTATCACGTAGCTACCGATTCAGCAGTCCTGTAGTCGCTCACCCGTACTGCAGGGTTGTAATAGAAATTAAAAAAATCGTGATAGAAATGAAAGAAATTGTAAAAGATAAGAGCAATGCCAAAAAGCAGGTGATCTCAGCTGTAGGCATTTTTTGGCGATAAATTGATATTGTTTTTACTTAGGAAACTGTACGGTGATCGAAGTTTCCGTATTTCTGAAATTTACCGTTTTATTAGAAGTGGGCGTAATTTTAGTCCGATTTCAAAAATTTTCTACATCTTGCTTTTAAGTATGTGTCAAGTACAATAATTCGGGTTTTTTTAAAATCAAAATTGCAGAAAAATTCAAAGGGAACGTACTCAGTGATTTCAATACTAGATGAATCTGGTTGCAACTTTACCTACTTAACTATTCGCTAGTATCTACCGAAACAACACCGTGCTCAAGCGTGAATTAATCCGATTAATAGCCAATCAAA